TACTTCATCCTACTTATAACTGTATTAAAAGTAAGACAAAATTTTTTGGTACATAATGAATTGATAAAAGTCAAAAATTCATTCAAATCGAACTACTGGGAATAGGAAAAATTCATTCGGACTGCAAAGGTTAAAAAGTTTCTGTCAGTAAGATCTAATTATGGATTCGTGTGGACCTGCCGTGATTGTCTGCACGATCACTGGAAACACCGATACTGCACTGATTAAAGAATATCAGAGAAGTAGCAATCGCTGATATCAGCGGACGCTAATGTCAAATGTTGAACAGTTTTTTTATTTCGGGAATGTAAACATTTGCATCGGTTCACAATAACAACAGATTAAAAATTTCACAAATTGGATTTTGGATTCATCTATGAGTACACCTGAAATAGAGATCTGTAGTTCGAACACCCTCCGACTGGCGTGCATCAGTCTCCGTTCTGATTTTAGAACGCGTAGCTCGCGTCCTGCTATCTCTCCCTTCAATATTAATTATCGATAGTTTCGATGCTATTTCCTTCCTTCTTCCTTTTTCGAACTTTGTTCCGATGTACACGCATAAACCGACGAGCACGGTCGAGCCATTAGGGAATTGATAGAATGTGGTTGCGCGTGTGTATCGCGATTAGAAAGACAAACAGTATGCAAGTGATTGCGCGTAAAATAGAAAGATTTTCAGTGGTGTTTGCGAGTCGGTATTAAAAGAACGTTATGACTATAATGATAGAACGAGGAAACTGTCGTAGAAGAATTTTGTGCATTTATGGAAAATTTGAAGATCTAAAACTGCATGGAATAACATACGTGAATGTATACAATATCCAAAACGTAGTGAGTTTTTAATATTCATTACCAGAAACCATATCACTGCGTAATTTGATTGTTCTAACTATATAGTATATCAATATAAGTTACAATAAACAGTCTACTCAGCAGTTATCAATCGAAATCTTCGCGTCGAGTCCGAAGCGTTATAGTGCCAGGAGATTAAACCTGTCGGATCGATCGAAGCTACAACTCGGTGATCTTCCATTTGATAATAGCGGCGCAATGGGATCCGTGAATGCGGCGCTAATTAACATTTATCATCTCCACGGTGAAGCGGTCGCCAAACAACGTCAAGTTTCCGGACACAGTAAATTTGACCGCATCAGCCCTTCGCGAAATCTATTTCGCGTGTAACGCGCGCTCGCAGATTTAGGCAAATAAGTAACAAGTTGTCGGCGCGGCGTGTCGCATCGCGAAATTTCATTTCCGCGTTGAAAAGTTACCGCCGGAGTTTAGAGGGCTTAATTCAATATCATATGCAGGGGTTTTAGCATATTCTCGACTCCTGTAATAACACTGAGTTTTCACGGCTTCCGCGCACGCGCCTCCTATTTCAAACGCGATCGAGCTTTGTTCACCGCCAACGCGCGCCATGGTGTTTCTCCTCGCTCTCTCTTTCTCCCAAGTTCCTGTTACATCAGAGGTGCGCAACCTTTTGCGTATAAAGGAACGCGTGCAACATCATGCATCAGTCGTGGCCCACAACAACGAATTCCCTTTCCAGTCCCCAGTCGTATTAATCCCTTGAGTGAAAATCACGGGACTGGCCTGTGCAAAGTCTCCGTACGAACTTTGTAAATTATTGCTGTGACGTAAGCAAAATCGTTGTTTTATTTTCATACATAAATTCCGTTAAATCTGTAATTGTTCAGATTTTTTAGAATAAATATATGCACGAAGTTGTACAGTTGCAACAGTTGAATTGAAATAAATTGTAAAACAAGAGGTTGACCAAAGGTTTCCAAAGTGTGGGAATCCATAAACTCCGACTCACCAGTGTGCTACGAAGTAATTTTCTACGTGTCGCGAAAAATTCATAAGTATTGTAATATGGTAACTTGTATCGCTAAAATAAAAAGGTGACACATATAAATAAATCAAATAAAATATAATGCTTTGTCGTCGAGAATACGTGTAAGTACATGTAATCGCTATATGCAATTAATAATAACTGTAAGTTAATTATAGGAAATTTTATAACCAATTGATATGGTCATAAAAGGTCATGGTCTTCCAAAATGGGAATCGGCCCATAGAAAAAACAGCAAAAACGGGAAAAACGGAAAAAACATAGCAACTGAAAAAACATGTACTTTTAATTGATTTAAATTTATCTCGCAAATAATATAATTGAAATATGGCGCTAAGTTTGTAAACGAAAGGAAAGTTTAAAACAGGTCGCAGGTTGTGCATCACTGCGTTTACATCAACGGCCGCTATCCGCGTAACGACGTACCTGAATTTTGTATTTAGAAGAAGCTGCCCTGTGCCGCTTCATGCACACTCCAGAGTACATAAACTAATAAAAACTCCTTGCCGCAGCATTTAAGCGCGGTGGAAAGAAACCGCAGGCCAAGCGAACCGTGCTTGCGCTAGTTGAAGTATCCAGGCAACGATCGACGATCGCGGCCGATATTAAAGTTGTAATTAACGAAGAGATTCTTCGCCAGATTCATCTTTGCCTTTCGTGCACGCTACGAAAATGAATATATCGCTACTGAAACTCTGAACCGTTTTTAAGTGAAAAGTAATTGGTATTTCTTTTGTACCGATTTAATCGCGAAAGATAATTTCCCATTCTCTTTATATATTTCGGAAGTATTTATTAATCTTTATATATTTTTGAGCTTTATTAGTTATATTTACATCTACGTGTAGTTATTATTATAGTTTCGCTTTCTTATCAATCTTAAAACCAAATGTATTTATTAAATGTAGGAAAACTTCTTTCGAATTACTCGCTAAAATTACAGTTTTATCGAAACTAATATGCAAATATCTGCCATTTTTTTTGTGAGCTTTCGACTACCATCGCGATAGAAATTCGATGGGCTTTAATCAAATGATTCCGTCTAATCCGCTGAAGCTGGTCGGAAATAACGTTTTTGCTGCACCTAATGTAAACAGATTGAAAGAGGAAAACCTGGAAATTATACAAGTATCTATGATCTGTTGATAAATACAAGCACAGCGCGTCTATCGAGGTACGCGTACTTGTACGCTCGTGCCTCTTCAATTTTTCGATCATTGCTGCACATTCCTCGGAATTGGTCAAAGATTGAAGAGATCGTTCGGAAATGTCGAAACCGACCCTCAAACTGGACACAGTTAATCGCGAACCGTGCTGAAATATATGTGTATTTATGCGCGATTTAAAAACCAATTGAAGGCGAAGTTAGTTTAGCAGCTAATAAATCCTCTTGAAACGGTCTGCTATTAACAAAGAGAAATGTACGCGTAATGGAGAATTTGAACCTCCGATAGGCGAAAAATCTGAAATTCCGCAGCCCATTAATTACACTTCGTTACTAATTATTCGACGCTCCCTCTCTCCACGACCAGTTTACACTTCTAATAACCTGCGCATCTACTACGCGTAACTTCGAACGGTACGCGCTTCATTAAACTTCCATTTTCCGGCGTTCAGCAGCTTGAGTTCCTCGCACGCACTAATTCGCTGACGTTAATAAGTACCCAACGTCGGAATCATGCGATATCGCGGCGCGGGCTCCGATGAATAGGTACAATGTTCCACTGAGGACGGAAACGAAAGACAGGGTAAAGTAATCGATGCGCCGCCGATTAAAAACCATGTTATTACCCGTTGATTAAACGCATTCAGGCGTCCCATCGCAACATTCGCAAGAAAAAGTGATAGCGTTTAACAAATGAATCACAAATTCATTTGTGATGTCTCGTAATTAATGATACACGTACGAACCCTTGTTCCAGACACATAATCAGTTTACCATGTTCCTAATTTCTTCGAATAGGTTTCGAAGTAAAGCAATTCTAACGTTCCTAACGATCCTTGAATTCTTTTAAGGTACCACCGATGTTTCGATTAAAAATGCGCGTTTTTTGAAGCGAAAGCAAGTAAATGATGGTAATTTATTAAAAGACTGTAATCTTTTAATAAGTTGGTGCGATGCAGGTAGTATTGAAGTGTTCGTGGAATCGTTCACTGAAATGTTCATGAATCATTGTTAGAGAAACCAGAATTAATTTCATTTGTATGAGATGGAAACTATACAATTTTTCGATAAAATGTACCTGTGTGCGTAAAATAATTCTGTAAATATAAGCTATTATTGTATTCTTATTGTCCATAGATCCGTGTAACCTGTCTAATCCAAACTACCTCTGTTCTCATCCACGCCTGAGGGCGAGGATTGATATTACTTGCCAAGAATGATGCGAAGTGCAGGCATCACGGTTTCTGAAGCTTCTCGGCAGGCATCGATTCCTCATGGACGTTGACATAAATCCTCTGCGAAACGGGCAAGATAAAGTCCGAGTCCCCGGGACGCTTACTGCTAATAGTTATAGTTGGAGCGGGGCAAAAGTTGCAATCGTGGAACCCGACGACTCTACAAATATCCCTTCTCGTACGGTCCGGCAAACATAAGACGTCAAAACAACCCCGGTACCCGTGATCCCTTCCACCGTTCCATCTTCTCGATACTTCGGAACATTTTAATGATCTTTACGGGAACTTAGAACAGCATCGTTGGAAATTTTAATTGAGATCTATTTCGAACGATAGAGGAAAACGACGAAGGAATTATTCATACTTATGACTAAAGTTTCTACCCTAGACGAGGACATTGGACTCTTGTTACGATTTCATTGTCTCTCCTGGCTGATTACGATATTTCTAAACTATTTAAGAATCTATTTAACCCTTGGTCCTATCATTTCTTTCGCGACTACGCTTGATAGAACTACATCATTTTTAAAAGCGAAAGAATTTGATACTTATTCTCTGTCAACGTTTACCCTAACGTTCACGATTGATAATTGAAAAGTAATACAATTTGAATTATATTCGGAAAAAGTTCATTACCAGTCTGACGTGGTTTATTATGCATGAAAAGGTTAGACAGACAAAAATATCTTACTCGCGTATTTGAATCTTAATGATCGATTATTTTTGTAATAACTATCGTCTTGTCTACAAGAACATTGGCTACGCATAAAAAATATATTCATAATACTTTTAATACAAGTAAAACAGAGAATGTATTCTGAATTGTGCCAACTATAGTAAGCAGGTATAAAAACAACTTTTTTTACACTTTTGCATAGTAGAGTAGTAAGTTTCGATTAGTAAGGGTTAAAATTATATTACTACGTATTCACTATCATTTATTATTACTACACAATTGTTATTACAGATATTGTTAAAAAATATTTAATTTTGTAAAATGTTTCGTCACTGATACTCATGTCTCTTTAACTTCCCTTCTGTTCTGTTATTAGAATTTCGTTATAATCGACTGGGGTGTATCAAGAGTTTGTACAAATTAAGTAAACTCCCAAATTGCATTAAAGCGATGCATCGACGCGATAAACTGTGTGACGCAACTTCCCGCCAATAAAATTCGAGAAATTTCCAGTTGTCGACACGCACATGTCGATACTCGAAAATCGAGTGAGCTGACCGCTATTCAGCGTCGCACGCGTGTATTTTTAATGTGAAGTCGTGAAAAGCGCAATCAATCTTCACTCAAGAGACGGTAAATCGTTGATTGATCAATAAAGTTCGGATTATTAGACATCGCTATTCCACCCGTCGATATTTTCTACTTTCACGCTTTTCGTTTTACAAGCTCGTTTTTGGTACGTTTAATCGCCGGAATGAGTTGGAACCAACCGAAATAGCGATAGGACGCGTAAAACCGTAATACACAATAGTACGATAATCATGAGCATTCGTCCCGTTGTGAAACGTTTTTTGAAATAATTATTACATTATTTCAACCTATCCCTTAATTCTAACACTCATTGATTCAAACTTTATTTGAAGGAGGTTCTACACCTACAAATTCCAACTTGTCACGCGAAATAGCTTTATTTTTCACGCGTAACGTTTTACTGTCCCGACGTTTACAAGTCGTCTGTACACGGCTAATGGTATTGCATACGATCCCCATTAATGAAATTGATGCGGAACCTGGATTTTTATAATACGCACGGCGAGGCAGTTCCGTGCGTAATTTATCGATCGATATAAAACAGCGAAACGAATCGAAAACAAGAATCTCCAGACGCGATCTGTTTCAGTCGACGTAGAGAGCGCGCCGAGAACACTCGACACGATTGAACGGATCGCTTTGACATTTCTCTTCCACATCGATCAGCGCGATGTTACCAAGTCACGTGATCGAAACGGAACATTATTCGATCCGTTCAGACTGGAACGGCCGTGATAATGGGAATCGCGTAATGGCCGCCGGCGTTCCACGTAACTAAATCATCTTGTAGACTCAGATTCGGTTCTTAAGCAAAGTCGGAAACGGCATCTGTAACGTCTCCCCCCTTGCCCGTCCGTCTTGTCCGACAGGGATACACTGATTGTCGAGCGGGGAATTTCAACAACTCCGAGAGTTCAACCGTTGTTGATCTTCTAAGAACTCCGTGCGCGCCGATTCTGCATGAATTCCCGAACAAATGAATTTTCTTGCCTGTTTGCATAAACTAGGCACACATTCGTCATCGTCTGATTCTAGATTCTCAATAAAACGATTAATTTGCAATCGACAATCTTTAAACGTTATAAATTATACGATTATATCGTTCCTTGGTTCGAGGGTTATTGATTTTCTAAAAACTCCAAACAAATGAATTTTCCTGTCATTCAACTCAATTGTTAATCTTCTAAGAACTTCGTTCCTACTTGTTCTGCGAATAAATTTATAAATAAACGAATTTTCTTGCTCGTTCCCGTGAACCAAAATCATATCCGTCACGTTATTTTAAACTCTTGATAAAAATATTCATTTTTCTAAGAGCCGATTCTTGGGATCATCGCTACGTGGTCTTCTGTCGGGGGCCGACAGGGTACGCTACGCTTTTTTAAGTTAAGCGTAAGGGACGAGCGCTGAGGTTTAAATTCAGAGCGTCCGTCGACCGTCAGTGTACATTTTGCTCGGAAAACCATCCTGACTCTTCAACCTCCCTCACACATTTAATGATAAATTTTAATTATAAACATATAACCACTTTTTCATTATAAATGTTTGACGTGCAATGTGTAAACGAAAATAAACGAGCAATCGATTTTCTAACAAGAAAGTAATTATTTCACTTTACGCGACAAATTTAGCGTTTAATTTTAATATCAAAATTCTGTTCGATGTAATTGTAGACTTCTGAACATTTTCACGACTAAATTAACGTTCGACTTTAATATGGATCATGCTAGTTTCGCGTAAAAACTATCAGCTGCGAAATAACAAAGTTAAGTTGTCAGAGATGTTGAAAAGACAGAGGATAGCAAAAATAATATGGAACTCCGTGGAATATCCGCGAGAGGAAATCTTATTCGTGAAATGCATAAATGGAATTTTTCACGAAAACAAAGATGACGATAAAGTCTATGGAAAATGGGAATTTCTATTACGTTGCCAGGAAAATGCGTTCCAGTTACACAGTTAAGAATATAGAGTTGATACCAGATACGAGGAATCAGATACCTGACGCTGAATAAATAACATGAACCAATTATACGAAAACTAATTATAGGGCGTTTCGTCGGGGTTGAAAACCACAGACCGCTGGTGTAGAAGCGTAACCGACGTAAAAGACTTACGAACTTCGAGATCGTGGGTGCGCAAAGCGAAATAACATGCAATGAAAACGCTTTTGTGCCGAACATGTTTCTAAATATGATTCCGGCTTTAATCCATCGCCATTCGAGATATTAAAATAATAAATTACACAGCTTCCTAAAACATTTCGTTTTAAAGTACAAACGCAATCTACCTTCTCGATTGAATATTGTCATTCAAAATTTGTAATCCTTCAAATGTTACGGATTTCAACTTTATTAATATAACAAATATATATTCCGTTACAATTATAATGGAATAGTTTACAACAACAACGTTGTATTTTTAATCTTTCATTGATCAAACATAATTTTATTAAACTCTCATTCAAATTTTGTAACTCCTTGTTTATGAATAACAACAATAACTGTAATGTATACAAACGAATTTGTCAAAACAGGGAATAAATTTAACCTGTGTTTCTTCGAAAATGTTACAAACACTCAACGTTTATATATATTGCAGTATGAATTGTTCAATGCAATTG